CAGCCTCGAGAGCCACAACAGCGATGGTCTGTGTTGCAGCTTCCGTAAAACCGAACGGCGTCGGCTACTGCAAGTGTCACCAGACAGCAGGCGCCGTGTTAATCTGTCTTTTAGACAGGCTTGTAGTAACAGAAACACGAACAATAGAGAATCTGCCTTTACTCTTTCAGTTCCACCACCAGATTCCAGCACCACTTTGCGGTGCTTCAGGACCAATCCATACTTACCATCAGTGTAAAAATCGTGCACGCGAAATATGCGCCCAGACCGCCTGGTAGATGTAAGATTTGATGTCCTGAAACGTTCCAAGGTACTGGTTTCAGAAGCGTCTGACTGAATGTTTAACGATTCCAGACAAACATGGCTTGGCGATGTTAATATGCATGGTTGACACCTCAATCTAGAATCAACAGTTTCACTCTCAAATTTCGATAAAAAACATATCGATTTACAGTCTACCTTCGCGATATCCTTAATGTCTGTGGAACGCAGATCAAACATTATGAAAAAGCTTCTGAATTCTGTCGGTTTAGAAAGAGTTCACTAAACCATTGTAAATTAAAGACACCTGTGATTTATTCCATGCGGTCGTTAAACGTCTCATTTTTATGGTTTATTGAGCTTAAGATGCAGACAAAATCGATCTCACGGAAGTTTCTGGTTTCTGTTTTGGTTTTGACGCAAAAATAGAAATGAAACGAAGAGAGCTGTACCCTTTGGCAACAAGGAAACTATATCAGGGGATTTGTGGGAGGGGGGCGGGGGATCACCATAAGAGAGGCTTTCGTCAACCCTGCGTTCCTCTTAGCAAGACTCTGGCTACCCCCTGCCTACACGCAAAAGCAGATCAAGTCATTTACATTGAGTGCCAGCCATTAAATGTTCGCTGGGCCAATTCGTACCTAAGGTAAGCAGCCTCCCTGGGCTATTTTTCTGGGTTGGTGTGGTGCAAGGGAAGAGAATGCGGTAAGAACGTACTTTTGCATGTGTTGAACACATGTTTTACATTCCATTTAGTAGCAATGCTGATTCAGAAATGTGCAACAAAGCCGCCATACCATCATTCCGCGATCAGTTATTCGGAGACAGCCGGGTCACGACAGCGGCCACCGAAGGCAGACAGGAGCATGGTTCAGACGAGGGGTATATGACAGAAGGGCTTTCATTCGGTGGCTTGGTTTCCAAAGGAGAATCTCCAGTTGTATGGCTTTTGTCACACGGTTTTGGCAGGTTCAAGTTTCCAAATTTGTTTCCGCCTAAAATTGCGCAACAAGTTTTATCTCTTGAACAGCAGCCAGCGAAATGAAGGCGCATGCAAAATCCGTTGTACTGTGAGCCAGCGGTTCACTTTCCAAATTCTCACCAGCCTATGCTCAGGCCATATCTCGGCATCTACCCTGTGCAGACAAATGCCTCCTCAATGACGCAACATGCCTACCCACTCGTGGAATCTCGCGTTCCTAAGAAAGACATTGTTGAAATGGACGAATGATCTCGGGAAGCTGGATAGTGTTATTTGCCGAATTGGCATAGATGAGTCGGACAGGCAAGAGTGTACACCATTGAAAAACAGCTCTAAATGCATATCTATAATATCAGTGATTATATGTAAATAGATAACATCCATCTCACCACCCACTCCCCCGCCCCCCCCGGTAATCGGGCTTTTTCCAGAAAAAGTTCCTGAAGTACGCCCTGAGCTTGCCCCCCCCCCCCACAAATTTGAAACGTTCCTACGCCTATGCGTACAACCCTTATTAACACTGAATGAGTGGTTGTAGCTTATGGAGTGGTTCTAGCGGGCTGTCATTAGCTGACTTTGGCTATGACCACTTTAAGCCGTCTCATGTAGGATTTGTCCCTGCCAGTTGTATAGCACAATTCCCGCCGGGTCTACACTAGCTCTTCGCCTGTTTCTTCACGTTTGTTTCCTCTTCCTAGCTGGGAGTGCCGCGACTTGATTTTATGTTTTCTGGTGTAAACGTATGGTTTATTGCGTCGCTGGGATAGAGGAGGAGCACTTCTGGTTACTCGTTCTTGGGAAACTGTATAGAAAAAATGGACACGCAGGGGCAGATGTGCGACCTCGGTGTTCGGGTGGGGGGGGGGGGGGTGGGGGGGGGGGAACGCCCGTAAAATTGGACGGTAATAGTTGAATAACCTAAATTGACGAATGAATTTGGCGAAAATGGCAAGCTCGTGATATTAACGGATATTCGGATATTCGGCCATTCGTGATATTCGGGCACATGAATACGCAGAGGCGGATGTAGGGCCCTGTATCGGAGGGACCTTCCGCAAAAGTTGGCGATAGTGCCAAGACCGTGATATCCGCAGGATTACCTGCACTCTTGCGTTTACAGGAGTAACTGATGCGTTTTTGCTTGCTCTAAGGGCCCTACACTTATTGACAAGAGCCACTTTGTTGGCCTCCTGCGGCACCCATGATTGCTCAGATTCCGTCCCTATTGGTCTTGGAGCCCTTCGCCTTAGAGCAGCAGTCGAATATGCGCAGATGAACTTCTATGCGCGATAGCCGGACGTAATTTTACATGCCGCCGACGTCATATGCATCATTTCCATTGCCTATTTAGTGTGTGACACCTATTATACTAGTGCATCATGTTCTTAACATACTTTTTAAAGCATTCATATGTTGAACTCCTCAAAAGCAAATGAACAATTCTGCACGAATCTTCAGCCATCAGCTGATTGCATCGCCCAGCCGGCTAGCCGTAAATACGTAAGCTAGGAATCAAGCGGATGATTGGTTTTGATGATTGTTATCAGCAAACTCAAGTTTATTTTGCATGCTGATCCGAAACACTTAGCCTCAAAACCACAGCATTTGAAATGCTCCGTAGAAAATGAGTGAGCTCTATGCGCATGAATGCGTAGCACGCCTCTGTTTTATGGGGCTGTACGCAGTAAGACGGGTTTCCGTATTTAGTAGATAAATAAAGAAGTAAACATATACATGCATATACACACACACACACACACACACATATATATATATATATATATATATATATATATATATATATATGCATGCATGCATTACAAGCCACTTGTCGTAAAATGTTATGACAGAAATGCAAGGATACTTTTGAGGGACGGGGGCCCACAATATCTCGTGGACCCCCTTGCCGAAATACTGGATCCGCCCCTGAAAATGTGTGCAAATCTGGAAGACATCCATACTTTGAGGGTACAATGCATAATGTTTGCTACTCCCAAACCTAGTTTGAAAAACTATGCCCCTGCTTGAAATGCAATTATTCCATCAATGTTTTAAAAACTTTTAAACCATTATTCACAGTTCAACCTTAACGTGGCGCTAACGTGAATCTTGGTTGCTGGAAGTTTATTTGATACCCAATGATGTGGGCCACGCGAGTGCAGTGCATGTAAGCATGAGAGCGGCGTGTGTAGGAAATACCCGCGATGAGCAGATAGGGGGTGGTACAGGTTTCATTGCCACCTTCCCCTCTACCGAGAGTTTTACTTCAAATAACAGGTGGTTTTATGGTATTGTGGCCCAACTGTCCTATGAGGTCAATGAAGGGTTGGCATTTGTTTGTCTCTGAGCACAATGCTGGCTATTTCCTGACGATAGCATCCCTACTGTAATACGAAAGCTCTCGAAGTCATTCGCTCTGCAATGCTCATTCATGTGCATATGTTCGTTGCACTTGTGAGTGTGACATTGCATGGATGCAAATATGGTTGTGTTTCATTGCTGTTTTTGTTAAGACTGGAATTGTTAAATCGTCCTAATGGAACCAATAGCATAATCACTGTATACATTTAAGTACAGGCTGTGAAGGCAGATAGTCTGCCGTAAACGTAGCCTGCATTGATAGAAGAATCAACATAGTTTGTTTGATGATGGCATAATGACAATTTGTGTAAGTGCCAATTTGTGATAAGTGCAATTTGTATGCATGATTAGGGGGAGATAGTAACCATGGATCATGGTCAATAGCTAGGTCCAGAGAAGAATGGTTTTGCGTTAATGTCATTGTGTGTAGGAGCAGAGGGAGCAGGGGGTCCACGCCCCCCCCCCCCCTACTTTTCATGGTGAGAGGGCCAAGCAGTGTTAATTGCCCCACCCTCTTTTCAGATTAAGGTTGTGTTTAGCTTACTTTGCACTACATAAAGCATTACATGGAGACTTACATATTTCAGCAGCCAGCTTCCTCCCGAAATGCACCATCTTTTTCGTTTGCCCATTGGCCATCGCTTAGTGTCAGCCGCAAGGCCTCCGCCGCGCGGTTCATGGAGACTTCAACGCTGGGCGTAAAGCTGTTGTTCTAGGACTTACGAGCGCGCATATTCAAAACCATATCACATAATTTTATCAGTAATCCATCCTGCAAGTTGTTCAGTGCATTAACGAGGAGATTGATTCACATAGGCAAGACAGTAGTATTAGCCTTTTTCCTCGGAAAAACCCGGAGAATGGAGATAAACTTTAATTGATATTTCGGCGACATGCCCCGGCAAGGCCCGGGGGTGGAAGAAAACGCGTGTTGTTACTGGGCTATCTCATTAGTCTAGCGCAGGTGCGCCTGCTTTCTTAGCAGCAGCACTTATCCCGACGCTTGTTCAAGGGCAGTGTATGACTGAACGTTTCGGTTACGTGTGTGGTATTGAAATGTGCCGTGAATGGAGAGACTTTCGTTTACAGGCTGATTACTGATGGCGCTACTGGGCATGGACTTGATGACCATTTTGCCATCTGGCATCACATTACGCTGCTGGCGACAATTTTTCTCCAAAATTTGTTCGGTGACAAAAGTACACTTTTAC